TCTGGAGACGCGGGGAAGCACGTCCCTCAAGTCACGTGCTCAAAGTACAGAACAGTCCAAATGAGACAGAAGAGATATTTTAAGACGTAGATTTATAAGGTAATGTACTGCAGTATATTCTCGCGCGTGCGAGACGGAAATATTTTGTAATAAATAATTAATATAATCAATATATATTTTCGTTTTGCACACATTTGGCCGAATCTTGGTTAAATCTCAAGTTGCTTTACGAATACAAATTTTTTAATTATGTATGTGCTATTGGCTATCTTCCAATCCTCTCCGTTGATTTATTATGTATTATATTGTAGCAAAAAATAGAACAGCAGTTTGATTTTCCGTTGTAATACGAAACGAATTTGCAATAACACAACGTTCTGATATGGAATGAAACGTTATACGGATAATCGAACGTTTGCATAATATGGACGATAATAAATGTAATCTCGGAAAAACCTCGCCAGAGAATAATATTAACAGTATCGTGTAAAAATTATGTGCCGAACTAAATAGATTTACTGGGAGAAACGCTAACTACGTAAGATTTTAATGTTGCCCGTTTCGACGATTGCCGCGAGGCGTATACCATACACATTTCCGTACTCCGCGACATTGCGAATATTGGATTCGTTAAGATTATAATGGGCTTGAAATGCCGCCCGCGCAGATCGCGCGACTTGGTCGCGATCGAGCAGCTCGCCGTTAATCGAAATACTTTAGCGGCGCCGAGAGTCGCCGATGATTATGAGAGAAAGTAGGTGAATTGATAACGACTCTCCGTGAGAAACGATTCATCCCCCTGCACGGTGAAAAGTACAGGACGCTCCTGCGCAAGCGTGTGCCAGGACGGGGGTTGACGACGGTGTACGGCGTCGCGACGCTCACCGGCGCTCACTTGAATCCTCGCCGCGTGTTCGTCGGCGCGATTCGCCTCGAAAGACCGTGCCCGAGAGGGAGAGGTAGCCTGGCCGGCTCGCAGCACGAATACATCGATCACGGATCGATGCTACGCGCGAGATCCATGTCGTCTCGACGACCAGTGGAAGCCACACACGTTACCTGCCGCTCCTTCCTATTAGATTCCGCTCGTCCACGCGTGTCCCGCGCGAACACGTAATGCCGCGCAAGAGTGTCGAGGGGACCAAGTGAAAACGGCCGGAAGTGGTCCAGCGCAGAGGTGGAGAACGACGCGATGGCCGGAGGGACGTCGCGCGCGGAGATGCCTCGGTGGACTGTGCCCATCGAGTGTCCGGTGATTTAACGTCCTCGACAAGGAAGCCACCCCCTCAAGGTTCCGTACCATCGGATATCCAGCAAGCTGGCCGCGACCTTATCGCCGAGGACAGTCGCGCGCTATTGTTCGATTACGTGGACTACAGTCCAGAACGATCGAGTCGAATTGGCGTGGACACAGTGATCTCACGCGATCGGGAGCAATCCGGATATACACGCGGGGCCGTTCGAGGGACCGCTCGTGGGTGGTGTTGACGTTTACGGGATTCCTGATGAGACTCGGAGTGCCGATTGACTTTGACCGTATCATCGATGTACCAACGCCGCGAAGCGATCCACGACCGTCGGTCGTCACGCCGTGAGGTGACAGTCGTCGCGTGCCGATCGGGAAACCTGGCATCGACGCGTGCACGGAGGATGGAAGTAAGAACTCGCGTTCGTGCGTCCGCGTGGAGCACTGAGGGTTGAAGTTCTGGAGTTCCGGTGGCCTACTTCGGCTCTGTCCTCCGGACGGAGGGCGCGCGAGGTGAGGCTGCCACTTGCTTACTTGTTGCCGTGCGTTCCGCCGGGATGTGCGATCGTGTCAATTGCGCGAGATTTTCGGTTTCAACGCGACACTTTGTCGCCAGAGACGAAATGGGGATGCGATTATGTGGAAAAGAGGAAATTAAAGAAGGAAATTATTTAGATAGAAAATGCACTCGCCTTCCGCAATTCTTTTCGATATGTAGTTAGAAACGTGAGCTTATCCTGAAATCTAGCATACGTTAGTTCCAGATAGATGTTAAAGTTAAGCGTTTTCTCATTCAGGGCTGTAAGATAAAAGCAAATCTTTCTATTCCAACGTCTATTTCTTTGCGTCGATCTTGATTTCGTAATAACAAGTCGACGAGATTGCATTGTTGCGAGCATTTCTTTTTACAAATTTGTATATCTGTAATCGTAAAGATAAATATGAAATTATTATTCGGCCGGAATTAATTAATGATTAACAACCAATTATTTTTGTCTCATTTTTTGACCAAGTATATTATACTGCAAAGTAAATCAAGATGTAAACTACATTTTCAACAATTATTTGAAGTGCACAAGAGATGTCCGTTGAGAATATGTATAATACAGTTTAATGTTCAAAGTAGAGTCTTACGTTCAAATGTTGCGATGTTATTCGCAGTTGAGTTTCCAGTTCGCCGCACATTTTGCAGTTCGTCGCGTTGTTGCGCTTCATATTTTGTTCGTACTGCACGTCATGTCGTAAAATATAAATAGGCTACCGATATAATGTGACAGCGACGCTGTAATCGGGTTCACCTTACAGCGAAACATGCAATATGAGAAATGTACATTGCGCGCTCGTAAAAATATTTCAGATATTTCAAACATTTCGCGTCTGCAGGGTATTTTCAAGTATTTTCTATTAAAATACCTGAAAAATTAAAAAATCTAAACGCAATCTAACAGATTACACACGCACACACACACACACAAGGTTGTCTCATGAGTTTCTTTTGCTTTTTTTTTAAATTTTTCCATTCAAAATTTCTAAAACGACGAAGTTTTATTGTAATATATGTAGAGGAGAGTCCCCTATTATGAGATAAACTCCTAATATGAGATAGCGGGGTTTCTACAGAGTAATCAGGCATCGTCTGTCGGTTCTACTGTGAAATTATTGCCCTTGGAGCGAAATCTGTTTAGTGGAAAATTCATTGTTAGATTGTGTAATCACTGCGAAGAAAGATTTGTAATTGAATTTGCATGTTGAAAACCTGCTATCCCATAATAGAGGACTCCCCTCTATATGCACAGGAGAGTCCCCTATTACGAGATAAGTTCCTAATACGAGATAGCGGGGGTTCGTACTGACAATGAGTTAACAGGCATCAACTGTTGGTTCTACCGTGAAATTATTGCCCTCGGAGTAAAATCTGTTTAGCGGACAATTCATTATTAGATCGTGCTCGTAATCGCTGCGGAAACAGATTTGTGAAATTGGTTGTTGAAAATCCACTGTCTCATATTGGGAGCACATCTCATAATAGAAAAACTTTTCTCTACATGACCCACTCTGTTCAATAATCTTCTTCGGAAGTCTCATAGTGCCTTCCTTTCAGTTTTCGACGTGCCAGCAAAATATTAATGGGTGAATTTTTTTCGATCTCTCATTTTTTGACGAATTTATCTTGCCGAAGGGGAATTTCTTAGTGAAAGGAACTGGTAGTGATTGGACGGATTAAGGTCCGGAGAATACGGAGAGTGAGAGCGTCCCAATCAAACGCAAGGAGTTTATTCATAACGACCGAGGATACGTGTAGCTTGGTTGGTTGTCATGATGGAAAATAACATCTCGTTTCTTTGTTAGATGTTCGTTCTGGACGTTTCCAGGAGACGTTTTCTACTCTCCGTCGGATTACTACCTGTTCGTTCCACTAAAAAATTCTTTTCGTCACGAAGAAACTCGTTAGTGAAATAAACGCCCCGAAGGGAGAAAGAAGGCATTATGAAGCTTCCGAAGAGATAGAAGAAGATTATTGAACAGAGTTATTTGCAATAAAACTTGGTTTTGAAAATATTTAAGATAACATTTTTGTAAAAAAAAAACAAATCAAATAGGAAACGCGAGCAAGATGTAGGTAGCCCAATAATTTTTATCTTCTATTTCAAATACTGTTTTTTCGTGCGCGCCGATTTCTTTTCGGACATACAACACCGTTTCGTTTAGACGGAATCACTGTCGTCAGTAAATTCACGTATTTAAATCGACGAACAATTTCTAATTATTTTAAACACTATATTTAGCATTCAAGATAATACTCCCCCCCCTTCTCCATAGTAAAGAAATCTTAAAGATATGGGACAACCTATGTACAAATTTTTTAATTTTTTATGTGATTAAAATTCTTTCTATTATCTGAATCTTCATCGCACTTAAAAATCCGTGTAAAATCAACGAAATATTTATTATTCCTGTTCAATCGAGTCAAATCGCATCCAGTATCGAGAGATGAGAGTCGCGTGGTCGTATCTCATGCTAGGCGTACGACGAAGGTGCGACGGGACAGGTTTTAAAACCATCCGCAAGAGTTACAGTCTCACGCGATCGCAGCTACTGCCGATGTAAACGAACTCTAGATCGCTTTATTCTGCTCGGTCAGGCGGCATCGAGGTCGTGACTGACAGGCAGAGCGGGTTTCGAGCGGAAAAAAAGAGAACCTTTAACAAAATATGGCTGTCGCGATTGTCCTGTGAAGAGGCGCATTATCGGATCTGGTTTTTTTTTACTTTTCCGCTGCCCTTTTTTTGTACAATACGATGGATGGCCATGACCTACGATCGGCTGATCGCTAGAACTGGCGAAACGCGATGGTAATCGCCACAATGTATTGTGCCATTCGATTGTCGTATATCGTCCATCAGCGCTTACGCAAGTCATTCCAAGAATGGGGTGTAACGCAATTTGTACCTGTCTAGCCTTATTAACCTTATATAGTCGGCGCTGATTGACTGAAATAATACATTTTGTTTATACCTTGGAGTTATTGCATAAGTCTTTAAGTAGTAAGCAGTAGATTGCTATCTAATCGTAAGACACTAGCAATCAAAGTTGCTAATAACACTCCTATTTTGGCAAATTATTAATACATTAATTTAACAAGCTCAATACTTGATAAACTTAACGAGTTTATCAAGTTTATGTGTTCGCCAGTAATAAGCGTATATGCACAATTAGTGTTGCGTTTAGATTCCTTTTCCTTTCTACCACATTGTATCTCTCAACTTATTTAATCAGCGAGTGTCAATAAAAATTATTTATCCGCGAGATTATTGGAGAGTGATTGTGATTGTCGAAGGATTCTTGTTAGCGTGTCCTTTGCTCGCCTTTGCTAGGGCGATCGATAAATATCGATTAGCTCTTACACTTTGTGGATGCATAAACCTACACCTACGTATTTTCTTGTCATGGCCATTTCGCGCGATGAGTACTCATGGCGCGAGAAGAGCTGCCCCGATAACACAATGAAATTATGATCTATCAACAATGTTGCATTCGACAAGCCAAAACCAAAGCGAAAATATTGCATAAAAATATATTGAAATATTATTCTGCATTGTTTTATTTTCCAAACGTAAGTTTTGTCTTGGTATTCGCATTCCATGTAAAACAGAGAACTTTCGAGTTAATTTAATTTAACGCGTTAATATTATTTGTTCTTTTTTCTTTTGACAAATTGGAATAATTTATCGCGTATACACGATAAGAAAGTTCAGTATTTGCGCTTGTAGTATTTTTAGCACCGTTTTCAGTGTTACCGAAAACTGTGTCAGCTGAAATTTGCTTGGTATTGCCGGAGACACGTAATGTAACACTTAAATCTTTTCCGAGGTCGTGGGTCTTGAAGCTACGAGAGATTAATGCGCAAATTTATAATTTTTTTCCCCCTTAAACTAAGATGATAACTTAATCTGTCTTTAATTTACTTTAAACCCTGTTCCATTTTTCTGGTAAAAATTCCGTGTCAAAATCACTTGATTGCGTTTGACAGTAAAGCTGCTATGCAGCTCCACTGCAAGAATCGTTACGGTATTCAATATTTGATATGATGTGTACATGAATTGCGGAATTTATTAAGAACAAAAAGTTCATATCTCTGGAAATATTCGCATACGTTCGCGTACATAAAAGTGATTTGATAAAATCTGTTTCGGCTTGTCCCATTGACGATTCTGTGTGTCGAATATTTGGACGTGATATAGGATGTTGAAAGTTTTTATATGTGCCATATGATGCACGTATAATTTCTGATAACGACGCAATATTTCATATACAGTGCATGTAGGCATTTGAAAAATAAAACGTGCATATCGGCATAAAATATCAAGATCTAGATCTAGATATGCGCGCTAAAGTAGAATAAAATTGTATCTTGGCAAAACCATTTCATAGTGATTATTCATGAAGAACATCCAAGCGTTTTATAATAATGCAAAATCATATAAATAAAATACGTGCGCATGTACCTGTAAGACATACTTGTAAGAGAATTTTGGTTAAGCTCCATTTCAAAACAGAAATTTCATTTTACGTGCAGTGATCAATCAGATCTAATTAAAAATTGTTAAATGTGTCGAAAACCCTTATCTAAGCGGCTAAGTTTTAAAAATCTTATTAAGGCCCGGCTTTTTTCACTTTCTGGTTAACTGTTAACCAGAAGTTAGTCGACTCTTCGTTTTTTTATGTTATTACCTAAGAAGAGACAGAGAATCGACGAACCTCTGGTTAACAATTAACCAGAAGATGAAAAACCGGGCCTAAAAAATGATCGTATCGTAGAGTCAGTAGCTAAAATATGGGGCGATACGTTTCGAGCACCTCGCGTGTTCATTAGTAAATACCATTGCATTTATTGCGCGAATTATACACGCGGCATTCTCATCCCCGTCTTCCAAGCATCTGAGCGCGAATCATGCGCTATGAAAACCGACGGTCCGAATTCATTTAAATACCGCATTTAATTCCGCACGCCA